TCTCCAGGAAGCCAAGGTGGTATGATCTGTTGAGGTCAGGAGTTTGAGACCAGCCTGAGCAAAGCCAGATCGTCTCTACTTAAAATAGAAAAATTAGCCAGATGTGGCCAGTGCCTTTACTCTCAGCTACTTTGAGCTTAGGAGTTGGGAGGTTGGTGTGAGTTAGGCTAAAGCCATGACACTCTAACCCATGTGATAAAGCAATACTCTGTCTGAAAACTAAAAACAAACTTGCAAAGATGTTGATTAGTAGTTAAAACATATTCTCTGTGGGGCAGTGCCTGTGGCTCAAAGGAGTAGAGCGCCGGCCCCATATGCCGGAGGTGGTGGGTTCAAATCTAGCCCCGATCAAAAAGTGCAAAAAAAAAAAAAAAAAACATTCTCTGCAACTGCTTATCTTCTAATAGTTGGGAAATTCTGTTCCTCTCCCTGTTTGGGGGCAGTTTCTGGCTAATTCCATGTCAATAGGACTGTAAGACTAGGGAAGTTGGTTATGTGTGGATACTCTGGGAGGTTGGTGAGAAGGAGGAAACTGACCTCATCTCTGGGCCACACACACACTGTCAGGTCCCTTGGAAAGGATACATAGAATTACTAAGATCTTCCAGCTGTCAACAAAGAGAGAAAGGAAGGTTTCTGTCAAGATGACCACCAGACCAAGCCCCTGATCCTCTGGGGCCATCTTCTGGGGGAAATAGAGGGGCCCAGAACTCCTGGATCCATGCACCCTCCGCTTTTCACCAGGAATGGCTTTGGGAACAGGTGCCTCCCCAACCCTGGTGTCCCTAGGAACCAAAGCACCCAGCCAAGACCCACATTGCTAAGCAGCTGGTCCAGGTTTCGGTCAGCCATTGTCTTCTTCTGCTCCTCCGGCAGCCCCTCAGTGACCCCATCCTCTTCCTCTTCATCATCCTCTTCTTCCCCACACACGTCCAGGCTGAAGTGGAGCCGGGCCAGCTTCTCTTGCATCTCACGCACGTGCTCCAACTGCTCAAAGGAGCATTCCTTCCCTGGACAGCCCCTGTCTGAGTCCTGGGATGGAGCCTGGGACCCTGGCCCCAGCCATGCTCCAGAGACCCAGCCCTCCAGTCCCACCCACAGACCCCCAGGACTCACCAAAGGCCTGAAGCCGGCCTGAGTGAAAATCATTGAGCAGGTTCAGTAGTCCCCCCTCCATCTCATAGACATCGGTCACCTCGGTCAGGAAGGAGTGCTGCAGGGGTGTGCCTGCAGAGCCACCTGCACCTCCAGGCAGCACTGGACGGCACTTCTCTTTGCCTACTCTGAGTGAGAGGGACATGACCCTAGTCATGGGGGGTGGGGGTGGGCAGCCAGGCACCACCCAGATCTGCATTAATTCATCTGCCCACTAATATAAATGGATGTTTGTACTTTCTAGCCCTGTCCTGAGCATCAGGATTGGTAAAGGGAAGGGAAGGATAGAGGAAGGATAAAGGTGAGAGGTCAATAAGAAGTCTTTTTCGACTTATAATACAGCCAGAACTATACTGAGAAAGGGACTCCTGGGTTCTGGTCTGAGTGCCTCAGTCCTTCCTTCTCATGACCCTGAGTGAGTCATTTGTTCTCTCTGGTGTTCAATAAATTCAGAGACAGTTACTCCTTTATTGCTACCAGAGCTATTTTACTTCCCTCAAAAATATCTTTCTGCCTCTCTCTTTATTTCTCTCCCTCCCTCCCTCTGTCCTCTTTTCTTTCTTTCAGATAAGAGTCTCACTCTGCCACCTGGGCTAGAATGCTGTGGCTCACAGCAGGGTAATGAGTCTCATGCCTGTAATCCTAGCACTCTGGGAGGCCCAGGCAGGTAGATTACTTGAGCTCATGAGTTCAAGACCGGCCTGAGAAAAAGTGAGACCCCATCTCTACTAAAAACAGAAAAACTGAAGCAAGAGGATGGCTTAAGCCTGAGTTGGAGGTTGCTGTGAGCTATGAAGTCATAGCACTCTACCCAGGGTAAAGGTTTGAGACTGTCTCAAAAAACAAAAACAAAAAACTCTTGGGCTCAAGTGATCCTCCTGCCTCAGTCTCCCGAGTAGCTGGGATTACAGCCACCCACCTAGCCTCAGAACAGCTTTTAAATAGATGAGGGGCAGAAGCCAGGTGGGTATGGTGGCTCATGCCTATAATTCTAGCTCTCTCAGAGGTTGAAACAGGAGAATCCCTTGAGCTCAAGAGTTTGAGACCAACCTGAGCAAGAGTTAGAACCCATCTTCACTAAAAGTAGATAAAATTAGTCCACTATTGTGGCAGATGCTTGTAGTCCCAGCTACTCAGGAGGCTGAGACAAGAGGATTATTTGACCCCAAGAGTATGAGGCTGCTGTGAGCTATGATGAAGACACCATGGCACTCTGCCCAGGGTGACAGAGTGAGACTCTGTCTCAAAAATAAATAAATAAATAAATAAATACTGTTTTGAGTGTTCCACTGCCCGCAGGATAACACTGAAGGCCCTTGCCCGCCTGGCCCTTCTGCCTCTCCAGTTGCATTCCCTACCGCTCTCACTGGAGCCATGGGCTTCAGTCACACCCCACTGTGGCTGTCCCCAAATATGCCTCTCAGGCAGGTGGTGTGCAAAGCCACAGGGAAACACAGTGGTTTTATTTGGAAGGATTGGAGAAAGCACACATTGTATTTAGTGGGAACAAACATGAACACATTACAGAGTAGAATACAAATTTACAGATTCCCAATCATTAAAACAAATACAGCAGAGAATTTACACCCAGGTATTCTCTCACCATTTCCTGTCCCCTGATACTCCAGAGCCCAAAAGCACCTGTAGTTGCCAAAACATTTCAGGTAATATCTTTCTTTCATATTTATGCCAGGCAAGCCTCTCAGCCTAGACCATTCTCTCTCCAGTGTGTCCAATGGCCTTCTCTGACCCTCACTCTCTGGCAGGGTTGCTCTTTCCCTCCTCTGAGGTGCAGTCTCACACCATGTGATCCCAGTGACCCACTCTTACTTTTTTGCCCCACATTTGACGGTAGGGCTGTGTGTGAGCATCTCTGGGCTCTCAGGGGCCAGTTGGGACCAGCCCCAAGGAAGGCATCTATTGTAGCTAGTAACTAAAGGCCAAAGGCACCCTTGCGTCCCTCCCCACAGGGCTCAGCTCACACTTGAGATCCCTCCCTCCTTGCCCTGCTTTCCTTCTGTACCCACCTCTTGAACTTAGCCCGCTGCTTGGGGGATGGCAGATGAGGGAGTCCAAGGGCCAAGGAGCCGCTGTGGCTGGTGGGCACAGGGACTCTGCGTAGTGTGCCTGGGGCCTGGGCTGGCTGGGTCAGACAGGGTTTGGGACTCCGTTTCTTCTTCTTGTCATCCATTGGGTGCTGGCTGGACTTCAGGCCTGGGAGGGAAGTAACCCACTTGAGATCCTGAGAGGCAGAGTTATCCCTTCACCCAGCAGCCCCTGAGAGCTTCAAAGGAGAGCCCTGGGACCTTCTAACTTCTTCTGCTGCTGCTTCTTCTTTTTTTTTTTTCAGTTTTGGCCGGGGCCGGGTTTGAACTCCCCACCTCCTGTATATGGAGCCAGTGCCCTACTCCTTTGAGCCACATGCACCACCCGACCTTCTAACTTCTTTCCTCACACTGTCAGGGCCTCTTATCTGTACAGAAGGGGGAGGGCCAGATGCCAGTGCCTGCTGCTGGGATCATGGATGTACCTTCCAAGGTCCACCCTAAGTCCCCATCTACCTGAAAACCTAGGCCCTGCCTAAAAGGGCTGGACAGATCCCATCATCCTGGTGCTGCTGGGGCTTCTGGTCCCTATGACTGGGGGGTGGGGCTGGCAGAGGAAACTGTAGAAGAGACAGGGTGGATGTGAGCTGGCAGGAGCCCAGCAGAGGATTAAGGGTGTCTTGTGCTGACAAATAGTGTCAGCATGGGAGGTGACCCAGGTGCAGATGGGGGCGCCCAGGGAGGCCCCAGTGTTAAGGAGGCCACCAGGGTGGGTAATTGCAGAAGCCTTGGTATATGGAGCAGTTCATTGTGGTCTCACCTACTTAAGACACTGGTATCCCTCCTCCTCCACCCACCTTCACCACCAGGGCAAACACCAGGGATTCCCAGAAGATCCCCAGGGCTGCTTCACTTTTCCCAGGCAGAGAGTCCTGCTGGGCTTCACCAGCAGTTAGCGGGGTGAGCGGTCAGAAAGCTGGCTGCCTGGGCCTACAACAATGGCTCTGCCTGTAGCTGGCTCTGCTAGGCAGCCTCAGGTCCAGCCCTACTCTATACCACCAACCCTCAGGTCTGATGGGTTCTCCCTTCTGGGGAGTCTCACCTCCCGCTCCCACCACCAATCCTAATCACGCATTCTCGTTTGGTGGGGGGGACCTTACACTGGCTGGACTGAATGGGTCTGGGGGGTATGTGGAGGGGGAGAGGAGGCATCTTCAGCCTGTCCCTGCAGCAGCGTAATCCAATTAGAGACCCGCTAGAAGAAGCGGGGCAGGAGCCCCTGCTCTCCCCCCTCCCTCCAGGAGCCTCACGGGAGCCCAGCTGGAGACCCCACGCTTAGTCTCCAAACCATGAGCCAAAAGGTTCACCCAGCTCAGGAGTCATCCCAGACCTGTAGTGTCAGACCCACGCCACTCTGCCCGTGTCCTCAAGCCCTCAGGGGCCTCTGACCTGGAGTTTAGGGGTCTCAAGTGATGCTTCCTTCGGTGCGAGGTCCTCCGCCCTCTCCTGGAACTCCACCGGGTAGAAGCGGAGCTGGCGTGAGGTAATTTGCATTTAAAGAGAAAGTGACCTTCGATGGTGCTGGGGATGGAGTTACCAAGCTGTTCTTTTCCTCCCTTCGCCTCCCTCCCTGTTGGTTGTGCGATGTCCATTTAGAAAAGATTTTCCCTTTCCTGTCAGTTTTATAAGCTAAAGTTCCTTACAAAATGGAGGTGGCTTTGTTAGAAGGAGGGGGTAGTGGGGAGAGAGAGAGAGAGAGTGGGAGAGAGAGAAAATATGAATCTAAGTATGTAAGAAGCACTGGCAGCAGGAAGAAACCGCAAGCAAAGGCAACCATCTACTCTGAGTGAGATCCCTTATTAAGCACTTTATGTACATTTAAGCCTCCCAACCCTGAAGGTATCGTCATTGTCATAGTCCCTGTTTTACTGAATGACAGTAAGCAATAGCCTTTGGAGGCCACTTTTTCAACACTCAGATACTTCTGGGTGGTAAGAGGTGGGGGCTGTATTCTGCCTCTCATGAAGTGACAGTATCCCTGGCCACACCCCAGGCTTAGGAGACAAGTGTGGAGAGCACCAAGCCCAAGGGAGACCGTACGATTCCCTGGCATGTGACTTCAGGTCTCAAGAGGGAAACCTGAGTAGTTGAAGGAGGCTGCCCCAGCACTGCTGATGCAGCCAGCGGCCAGATCAATGGGACAGCTATTTAAAGACTTGGCAGAGGCTCCCGGCTCAGGTCCTCAGAGCAGCATCTGATGCAACAGAAAAGAGGTTCCTCCTTGGCCAGGCTGCCCGCAGGCTCAAATTAGCTAGCTCAGAGCAGTGCACGCAGCCACTGCACAAGGGGCAGGAGTTCCCTGGGCTGGGCCTCTGGCTGGTGTGGAGAAAGGCACTGCTTCTGTGGGCACCTACACAGGGCTGTCCCTGGTGCTTCCAACACCCAGACTGCTCCAGAAGGGGAGGTATTAATTAAGGACTTTTCCTTTCTTTTTTTTTTTTGAGACAGAGTGTCACTATGTCACCGTCGTTAGAGTACTGTGGTGTCACAGCTCACAGCAACTTCAAACTCTTGGGCTTAAGCGATTCTCTTGCCTCAGCCTCCCAAGTACCTGGGATTACAGGCGCCTGCCACAATGCCCAGATATTTTTTGTTGTTGTCATTGTTGTTTGGCAGGTCCAGGCTGGGGGTTTGAACCTGTAAGCTCTGGTGTATCTGGCCAGCGCCCTAGCCAATTCAGGACTTTTTCAAGAACCAGAAGATCAGAAGGAGGAAAGGCAATAGGAAAATCTTTCTACTTCACCACCAGAGCTGCTAGAGTCCCTGGTGGTCGTCCAGGAAAGTGGAAGCATCCTTGTGCTTCCCACCCTCAGCTGCTTCACTGGGGAGAGGGAAAGCTGGAGTCATTTTCAAAGTTTCTTTGGAAGCTCCAAGAGAAGGAGTGAAATCCTGTTAAATCCTCTGGAGGAACTTTGACTGGAACCAATGTGCCCAGGGGCTCAGCTGGGACAGTCATGGCCAGTGTGTGGATACATCTACCCATAGAGGCCTGGAAGGAAGGGTACTTGGGTTGTCTCGGTGATTTGTTTGGCACTCACCACATTCCATCCTTTGTGCCAAACCAAATCAGACCCTAGAAAAAACAGGTATTGGGTGAGGGCACCAGTAGGATGTCTCCCATAAAGGAGCCTCAATTTTAGGGGTGGCGCCTGTGGCTCAGTGAGTAGGGCGCCAGCCTCATATACCGAGGGTGGCGGGTTCCAACCCAGCCCCGGCCAAACTGCAAAAAAAAAAAAAATAGCCAGGCATTGTGGTGGGCACCTGTAGTCCCAGATACTTGGAAGGCTGAGGCAAGATAATTGCCTAAGCCCAAGAGCTGGAGGTTGCTGTGAGCTGTGATTGTGATGTCATGGCACTCTACTGAGAGTGATAAAGTGAAACTCTGTCTCTACAAAAAAAAGAAATGCATAAAGTAAAAGATTCCCTTGCATGGGCCAGCACTACAGGATACTCCCTGTGGCACAGACCCAAACAGTGGTGTCCAGCCATCTTAATCTGCGCCTCAGTTTGCCTACGGTTACCTCTCAAGTCTCCTTCCCTTTGCCTTACTTATGGACCCTACAGATTTCCTGTTCTTTCTTTTTTATTTATTTATTTTTGAGGCAGAGTCTTTTTTTTTTTTTTTTTTTTTTG